CATACATCTCCATCCCAGCTCTTCGGTGACCAGGTGCATTGTCCGCCGGCAGTAATGCTTTGAAAGGAATCTTTTTTTCTGAGCGGTAGGCCTCAGCAGTGGGCTTAGAATGTTCAGTAAACCTACTGTAAACAGATGTGCTGTCATCCGGGCTTTGTTGTTCCATCTATAGAGCACAGGCAGAGTGGATTTATAATAACATAATTCTTAAGGGCCTTCGGATTTCTGGAATGGTAAATGAGCACTGGCTTCAACTTTAAGTCACCAGCAGCATGAGCCATTAACAAGAGGGTCAGCCTTTCGTTTGAAGCGTTGAAGCCAGGCATTGACTTCTTTTTTCTAGCTGTGAAAGTGCTGGGTGGGATCTTCTTCCAATAGGAACCTTTTTTTAAAATCTACGTTGAAAATGTATTGTTTAGTGTAGCCACCTTCATCAATGACCTTTGCTAGATCTTGTGGATAACTTGCTGTAGCTTCTCCCTCGCACTTGCTGCTCATTATGCGTTTGTATGTTATAGAGACGACTTCTTTCCTTCAGCCTCATGAACCAGCCTCTGCTGGCTTTAAACTTTCCTTCTGCAACTTCTTCGCCCCTCTCAGCCTTGGTAGAATTGAAGAGAGTCAGGGCCTGGCTCTGGTTAGGCTTTGGCTAAGGGAGTGTCACGGCTGGTTCGATCTTCTGTCTGGACCACTCAGACTTTTTCCATATCAGCATTAAGGCTGTTTTGCTTTCTTATCATTTGTATGTGCACCGGAGTGGCACTTTTAATTTCCTTCTAGAACTTTTCCTTTGCATTAACAACTTGGCTAACTGGTGCAAGAGGCCTAGCTTTTGGCCTGTCTTGGCTTTCAACATGCCTCCTCACTAAGCTTCATCATTTCTAGCTTTTTAGTTAAAGCGAAAGATAAGCAACTTTCCATTCGTTTGAACACTTAGAGACCACTGTAGGGTTATTAATTGGCATAATTTCAGTATTGTCTCAGGGAATAGGAAGGCCTGAGGAGCGAGAGAGAGATGAGGGGATGAGTGGAGCAGTCAGAACACACGGCCTTTATCGGTTAAGTCCACTGTCTCATGTGGGCACAGTTTGTGGTTCCCCAAAACAATCACAATAGGAACACCAAAGATCAGTGATCACAGATCACCATCACAGGTATAAAAATAATGAAAACGTTTGAAATACTTAGAGAATTTTAAGGAAGAGTTACGAAAACATGACGCAGGTGCACGTGCTGTGTAGATGCTGTTGGAAAAATTAGCGCTGAGAGACGGTGGGACACATCAGAGAATAAAGCAGGAAGGATCTCTAACTTTGTGAAGCTTCTACTTCTAGTAGGAGGGAGCTAGACAATAAACTTAATAAATTATGTGGATGTTCAAGGTGATAATTACTATGGAAAAGTAAATAGGAAAGGATGAGGGAAATGGGGACCACCAGAGCAGAGGGCGGGCTGCAATTTAACGTAGTGTAGCAGGGCAGACGTCATTGCACATGCAGCGTTAGAAGGCCATTGCTGTGATCTAGACAAGGAATTTGGGGCAGTTTGGAACTGACTGATGGAAAATGGGATGAGACCTGGTCAGATTACGGAACTATTCTTATTTAAATCAATTTTACCTATTTATAATTTATAATAAAGTTAAAGAATCCATACTGTGGAATTATAGCTACTAATTTTTGTTAGATTTCCAATTATGTTGTTTATGTTTGGATGTGATTAATTAGCATTTGTAGACTTTAATTTTTTCTTTTAGAATAAAAGGAAAAATTAAGGTTTATTAAAAGCATCATCGTAAAGCAAATTCTTAAATTTCCTTAAGAATATACTTGCAGCCTAATTTTGTGTTACGTCTGTATCACTTTTATTGTTATTGATAATGTTATTTGTCATTACTTGCAATAACATTCTTCCAAAACTTATGTCTTCTGATTACCTGAAGATAAGTGTTTACCAAATGGAATAGGTCACTATTAATGGAGCAACATTTATGGCACATTGTATTAATAATGGAGTCCACATTATAGTTGTTTAAGAGAGATAATGTGTTTTTTTAAATTCAAAATTATGTCTATTCAGGAATAGCTAAAAATGTTCTCATCTCTTTTACTTACTATGGAATGCTCCAAAGTTATTAGAGCGTCATAACCATGAACCAGCTCCACTGGGGGGAAAAAAAAGCTGTTATTGAATAAAAATTAGAAAAAGGTGTTTGGAGAACTGTTACAGTCTGCATTTCTCTCCATTAATACCTCTTTGTAGTTTGTTTAGTGTCTGTATTTGTGTGAGAGTGTGTGTGTGTGTGTGTGTACACAAAATCAAGTCTTTTAAGCACAAACATTTTAATTCTGTGTGCATTGGTAAGTGTCTGATTGTCACTGACAGGACTGTTTGCAAGGTCGGTGATAACACCTGTCATTTTTACCAGGTGAATAATTTCTGTTGGCTCAAATCGCTAGTAACACAAAGAAGTTACTCATGCTCAAAAATGCATAATCAGTAAATAGTTTGGGGATTTATCTCTTTTTAGACTTGAACTATTCCACTCATTTCTAAAATGAGTGGATTATTTCCAATAGACACAAAAATGAAAACCTTTTAAAGTCTTGTAGTCTTAATCTTCTAGAGCAAATTAAGTCCTTTAAAAGGGTGTCTTAGTTTGCTTTACTTGTCAGTAATGTAATACTTCAAATTTATCATTTTGCTTTCAGCTCATTTTTTTTAAAAAAATGATACTTAACCTATCAAATTTAGATCACTTTCCTTTGATTTATAATGCTGTGTTGAAAATGTGTGCAAGTCAAATTTTGCATGCATTTTAAACTGCCTTGTTTTCAAATTACCATTTATTATATTAATATGTGGCAAAGACATTAACATTATGAGTTGCTAGCTTTGATCTCGATAGAAGGGAATCAATTGATTTATATATTATAATTATTTAACTTTAAAACCAGGTAAAAGTATATGACCTTTAGCACTTTTTCTGTACACTTGAGTCTTTCAGCAACGTTTATTCAGTCCAAACTGAGTGTTAGGCGTTTTGCCAGGTATTTAAGATGCGTAGGTGAGAAGGACCGTGATCCTTCCCTCAGGAAGCTCAAAAATGGACAGAGATGGAAAAGGTTGTGGTAGTAGAGTTATTTAGTATTTATTCTGTGTCTACAGTATTGACACTTTTTCTTTTTTAATTAGCTTTCACAAAACCCAGTAAGGTATTTTATTATTCCCATTTTCAGAAGGGGAAACAGAGTCTTACAGATCATAAAATCTAGTAAGTGGCGGAGTTGCGATGAGGCCTCTCATACTCCACGTTCCGTGTTCCTTCATACTACACAAAACCTTTGCGTGCCAAGAATGAGGATACAAAAACGGGTAATACGTGTCTCTGGCCTCAAAGAGTTCTAAGTTTCGTGAGAGTAACTCATGCTCCAAAGAAAGCCAAGACTTTGTTCTTTTAGGCTGTCTTTATTTGAAACTATCTTACCCCATTTTTTCCACGAAAGCATTCTATGGTAATAAAAAGGTGGTTAAACCATATTTTGAACAGGAATCTGGTGATTCATTTTCCATTTTTTCCTTAATTTTGGTCTGCAAGGGATTTTTGTCTCAAAGTCTTACAGTGTAACTGATAGGACTTACTGCTGTTAATTATCTTAAATTGCTGCCCGCGGAACACTGTATTGCCCTGTGCAGCTCCTCACAATCAGATTTGACCATTAGCCACTCACATAGGAAACCTGGGAAGAGTGTGAGATTTTTTTTTTTTTAAGTCAAGCTGTTTTATTTTAATTCAGTTAAAATTTAAATTTCTAGGATAAAATAATTATGGTCAGGATTAGTTAATTTTAGGATGAAACAACATTTTGTGTTAATCTTCATATCTTCAAGTCTGCTCTGCAAAAAGCATGTGAATCCTTCCTGTGTTACCGCGGTCTCTCTGGAAGGGAGCCTGAAAGGTATTTCAGCTTCATATAAACGCAGTAACCTCCACACATCAAATTTCAGAGGTCACGAATCAACAAAATAAAAAGTAAGCAACTACCAGTAATGCACATGCATATAAACTGTATCAGATTTTTACCTGGGGTTCGTCGTGTGAAAACACCTGGGGATATTTTTTACATGCAGCGTCCGTACCTGGACGTGCCGTGCATGTTGGCGCAGGGCGGGGATAGGGTCACGTAGGCAATGGAAGGGACTCTCCGGGATGTCCGCATTTCCGCGTTCTGGAAAAGACCTTCAGGTGCTTTTGAAGCACCTGTTTCCCACTCCAGTATCTTTTTTAAGAACACTGAAAAATATTGTTTAAAATAACCTTAAGTCAATATGTGTTTCCTTCAACTATATTTAAATTAATAATCATAATTCTGATCAGTCAACACATACACCAGGAACTGTGAAAGCTGTATTTATTTTATTGTTCAGTGGTTAGAATTGTCTGGTGCTCTCATGCTTTAGAACATAATTGTGTAGACTAGGAGTGTTATGTATTTTACTGAGTGAATTTAATATTAATCTCAAAAATAGTAACATCCAGCATTTCTTTGATACTTTCTGAGTTAGAGACTGTGCTAATAAGCACATGATCTAAGTTAATCTAATGTAATGTTTGCAGCAACACCATGAGGGTAAGTACCGGGGAAACTGAGGCCTGGTGAAGGAGGACACAGCCCCCTGGGCGAATAGCTGGGCAAGGCAGCAGTGCCTCTGTGCAAGCCCTGGGTAGAGGCTGTGCTCGTCACTGCTGCGCTTTGCTGTTTCCTGTTAATAAAGGCAGCCGGTGCTGTGCATTTCTGGTTTAACTACTTAGCTGCTGTTCACTGAACACCTCCTCTTTCCATTGTTTGAGAATTTTCTTGTGTGTGTATAAATGTGTATCATATTAATATATGTATAATTTATATGAGAGGGTATGCTATTGATATTTTTATGTAAGTAAAAATTTAGTCTTATGAAACAAATGAAAAATTAAAACATTTGATGCTTTTTAATTTCAGTTTATTGATGGTCGACTGGCAAAACTAAATGCAGGAAGAGGCTTCTCTGATGCATTTGAAGAAGAGATCACTGCAGGGGGCTTCTGTGGAGGTAAAGACGAATGATAGTGTGATTATCCAGTTTCTGAATGACAATTATTTTGATTTTTGCACTTTATGTCTGATAAAATTGATTGCATAAACAACTAATTATTTTCTCCTAAACATATAATGTCTCAAATACATTTTTCACCTTATAAGAGCTGTGGTATTAATTTATTTTGCCTGATATATGTGATTCAAGGCATTAAGATGGTCTCATGAATTGGTAGCTGTTGGCTCAGATAATTACTGGAAATAAATAACAGAAATCCAATTAGTTTATATCTTCCAGCCTTTCCTCCTGAATAGTAGTATTCTCTGGTAGAAAACTGGGGCTGGACACAGTGACTCACACTGATAATCCTAGCACTTTGGGAGGCTGAGGTGGAAGGGTTGCTTGAGGCCAGGAGTTCAAGACCAGCCTGAGCAAAATAGTGAGACCACCCCCGCCCCCATCTCTACGAAAAAATAGGAAAATTAGCCAAGTATGATGGTGCATGCCTGTAGTCCCAGCTACTCAGGAGGCTGAAGCAAGAGGATCACTTGAGCCCAGGAGCTGGAGGTTGCTGTGAGCTATGATGACACCACGGCACTCTAGCCAGGGCAACAGAGCAAGACTCTGTCTTGAAAAAAGAAAAAGAAAAAAGGAAATTACTAGTGATGGCTATTACTGAATATGAATTTGAGAACTGAGATTATGAATGAAATAGTATATTATAATATAATCTGAAAAGAAAGGTTTGAACACAACTCCTTTTATATTTTTAAGTATATTATTATATAGAAGTCTTTACCTTTTCCACTTTGCAGACCACTGCAGTATTAAGAAAGTTTTCAATTTACCATTCCATAAATATAATTAATCCTTCAAATGTAAATATTCAAACAATGTTATAATTTTCTAGGCAATTAATTATTTGTGAACTGATACTTTTAGGTTCCACTGTTCTAGTATATAGTCTTGACTTGCAGAGAATTTTGCTTGAGTTCTTGAAATGTCCTATTCATTCATTCATTCATTCATTCAGTATTTGCTGAGTGCTTACTATATACTAGGCACTGATCTAGATACTGGGTGAACTAAACAAACAAAAATCCCCACCCTTTATATCTTGGTATGTTCATTTTTGATGTGGTGTAATAGTAATTTCTTTTTCTTTGTAGTGTTGTTTTGAGAAAAAAGTTTTGGTCTGTCTGTGAATAAATAGTTGCTAGAATTGAGAAATAAAACATGAAAAGACAAAAAGTAGTAAGTAGTCATCTATAAATTTCACAAAATTTAATTTTATTGTTAAGATTTATTTTCACACCATGAAAATGTAGAAATCATTGAGATAATTTGTTAAGAGGGGTACAGTGAACTTAGCATAGTAGACCTTTGTCTGATGTAAGTACAGCATTTCACCGAAAGCATTTGCTTGGGGAAGAAGTTAGTTTACTTGACTCAGCAGGTGAGCTGAATGTGGAATCACTCAGCTTCTTGCTTTCCTCAGCTGATGGGTAAAAATTTAGCTTCAGTGGAACTTTTGTGTTAAAATAACACCTTTTTACTTCTCAACGCAGACAAGCAAAATATTGTCAGCTCGTGGACAAATTGCTTGAGGCTTCTGTTCAGTATTTACATAACTGCTATCTCATTACCTTTATGACCTGTGGGGTAGTAGCTTTTATAGAATTGAAGGTGACATTTTGTGACAATCAGGGGATAGAACTGTGATCCTTTCGTACAGTTAAATTCCGTAGTCGTAACCACTGGTCCAGATACTTGTGTGTTAGAATAAGGTAGGTGACTTTTCTGGTGGGAGGGGTCACTAGAATGTTTCACTAAAGGTCTTATTGTCTAAAAAAGAATGGGTGGGTACGATTACTGGTTAGCATCTGACTTAGAGATGGCTACATTCACAGCGGCACAACTTGATGCCAACTACTTTGCTGCTCTTTACTAAAATGAAAAGGTTTTGAATTCTCATTTTAATCTGAGGGAGCCAATACTTATCCAAAGGAAAGCCCAGTGTGACAAATATTAATTCCAGTGAGTCCAGCAAAAACGTATCTTAAAAAGTTGTGCCTGAGTGACACATGTTATTTTTTCATTATTGTATTTTAGATTACTTTTAGAAGAAAATAAAACAAATATATTAGAATTTGAAATAAAAAGATGAATAATACAATAAAAATTAGTACTGTTCTACTACTAAATAGGAGATATCTGTCTATTTAGGGTATGTGAGAGAGAGTACGTGTGCGTGCACGTACATTTCCAAAAACAGTTCCTAGAGTCCAATCCCAAACATTTGTCGTTTGCATTGTATTTGTGTGAGAAAGAAGAATGTCTTTGTCATGGTGTTGACCTGTTCTTCATAGAAGTAAACTGGTCTAACTTTGTGGTTTCTCTCCTAATAATATAATTATTCATATTTATCTAGCACTCATATGTGGCAGAAGTATCTCATTTAATCCTCACAACACCCTATGAGGCGTTCTGATTATGCCATTTTTAGGAGGCGTCAGCCCAATAACCTGCTCAAGGTCACAGAGCCAGGAGTCGCCAGACTCTCAGCTCAGCATGCATCTGCCTGTCTCCAAAGCTCTTGATTTAATAACTGTGACATATTCTCTCTTACGATAGGAGATTGTCCTGATGAGAAAACATTCAGTAAGCAAGAGTCTTGCTCCACACTTTGCTACCCGGATTGAATAAAAGCAGAATTCATGTCTTTTCTGAATATCTCCTGAGGATTTTTTACACATAAAGCTCCCGGAAAGATCACTGTAGGAGAAATCAATATTAATTAAAGCTGAAGAAAAAAAATTACGTTCTTTAAGCAGAAATAATTAGGAAATTTCAGAGAAGCGTCTGTTTTCCCCCCTTCATACATCACTGCAGTGGTAGTTTTCACGGTGTTTTTGTTGCGATGCCCGTGGTTATGACAGAATACGATGAGTACGGTGGAACTTTATAACGGTTGTGGCTCTGGTTAAGAGTATTCAATGCAGGACAGTCAGATACAGAACATCTGGATCCACATTGGAGCATAGAACCATGGTTAAAGAATCCGTGAACGCACGCGGATTTTCAAAAACCATCTTCAGTCCCGTGACTCCTCCTCTTCAGGGCTCCTGAGGAAATCCCTGTTACACCTGCTTCCTTTCATGAGACCCTTGCAGAGTATTTCACCCTTACCTAAAAGAAAATAATAAAAATATCAGGAAAAGTGTAAAGGGAAAAGTATCCAGAAGGTTTAAAAAGGTATAAAAGAGGACATGAATAGAACAAATGATGCTATTTGGTAAGCAAAAGTGTCGATCTGTGAAAAAGCAGCTAAGGAATATCGAGTAGTTAGGAGCATGTTCTTTTTTTTTTTTTATAATTTTTTTTCATTTACAATAAAACTAGGAGAAATAAAGGAGAAATATTTCCCCCCTTTATTAAGGATTGATTTCAGGTAGAGGTGTGTGGTTACTCTGTTATTACTAGCATTTGCTTCATTAGTTTCCTGGTAGAATCTGATCAGTCTTTTATTTGTTTGTTCCTATGTCTTTTTACTAAGCACCAGGTTTGAAGAGGTGGTAGGTGATTATCAGTTTCAGTGGCATTTTTCTGGCCTCATTGAACAATTTAGATCAATTTACACTTTTTGACAAATAAGTGCAAATTACTGGGATTCAGAGAAATACCTTTGAAGGGCAAGTCTTGGCACAAGTGAGAATACTTTATCCTCGAGTGTGAGGATAAAATCACTTGTTTAACAAAAACGTTAAAATTTCCTCAATAATGTTTGTTAGTACCATAATCCAGTTATTTTAAAAGAAGGACTCAGATCTTTTATCATTCACATTAATTTTAAAGAAAAAAGTCTTTTTAAAAAATTACTAAAGGATAATGTGCTTGTCTCATAAGTTTTATGGAAATAGGAACCTTAAATATAAAAACACTAAAATTTAAAGAGATAATTAGCATTTTTTTTTTTTCTTTTTAAAGAAACAGGGTCTGGCTCTGTCACCCAGGCTCAAGTACAGCGGCGTGATCATAGCTCACTGCAGCCTCAGACTCCTGGGCTCAAGGGATCCTTCTGTCTCAGCCTTTCAAGTAGCTGGGACTACAGGCAGGTGCCACCACGCTGGCTAATTTTATTTTTTTATAGGGATAAATCTTGCTATGTTGCCCAGCCTGGTCTTGAACTCCTGGCCTCAAGCGATCCTCCTGCCTTGGCCTCCCAAAGTGGGATTGCAGGCATGAGCCACTGTGCCTAGCCAAAATAATCTTTTTAACGGGAATCTGCCTAAATTGTGCCACATTTCCCTATCATTTTTAACAGTGTATCTATTCTTAGAGACTTTCTATTTGCTCCCATACTACATAACTCTAGATTATTACTGGTAATTCTCACTATTAACTTCCTTTTCAGTGTATTAGCTTTGAGCAGCCCTTTCCCTTTCTGATGTAATTGCTTTGGAAGTGATACAGAGAAAACGTTTTATTTTTTAGTGTCAGAATATTACGGAGGTACAAATGCTTTGGTTACATAAATTGCTTTTGTACCATTTGAGTCAAAGTTGTAAGTGTGCTCATCACCCAGATAGTGTGCCTTGTACCTGTTAGGTGTGAATTTACCCATCCCCTTCTCCCCCCTCCCACCTGCTTGATTTCCAATGAATGTTATTTCCGTATGTGCACTTAAGTGTCGATCTGTTAGTTCCAATTGAATGGCGAGTATGTGTGGTGTTTGTTTTTCCATTCCTATGATACTTGACTTAGAAGAATGTCTCCAGTTCCATCCAGGTTAATGCAAGAGGTATTAGTTCACCATTTTTTATGGCTGAATAGTACTCCATGGTATACATATACCACATTTTATTAATCCACTCATGTATCGATAGGCACTTGGGTTGTTTCTATATCATTGCAATTTTGAACTGTTCTGAACACACCTGATCCCGTCTGATCTCAGAAGCTAAGCAGGGTCAGGCCTGGCTGGTACTTGGATGGAGAAAACTTCTATATAAGTTAATTTTTATTACATTTTGTTTAGCGGTCTTAGAGGTAGTGTTTCAGAGTTGAAGGAATAGTGAACTGTGAAGTAAAATACCCTTCTTCTTTCTTTGCTTTCTTTTTACTCTAGTCTTTCTCTCTCTTTGCTTCACATTTCCTTGGATAATATTTTTCCAAATTACAGATTTACAAGTAGAGAATATTTTCAGAGGTAAAACTGCAGTTGAATTGCATAAACAATCAGCTATTAATTTGTGTTAATATTTAACAACCATAGAAGAAGCTTTTTTTATTCCTGTGGTTCTTTGCATTTCTGAATTTCCTTTTAGTTTTTTTTTTTATTTCCCTACACACATGAAATACTGTTTTAAAGTAAACCAAATTGTGTAAAAGACAAACTTTTGAAAAGCAACATAGACACAAAACATTGAAAAATCAGTTTAAAAAGCAAAGGAATTTTAGATTTCAAAAGAAAGGTTTTGTTTCCCCCTCTGAAGCTAATACTAAAATGAAAGAAGATAGGATAATATTAACGTATTAACTTCGTATATGAATGAAGAAAAAGTGGTTGTCTATTCTTAACAGTGCTAACTACCCTGTTCCTAAGAATTAGAGCAATTTATTAGTTCTTACAATGCCATTACTCCTTTTACAACACTGCAGATAAAATTTGCCTACTAAAATGCTGGAAATGCTAGTTTTTGATAAATTTTCACTTCTGAATTTATTTTTGATCAGCTGTTCCTGGCATCTAATCTTTATATATTCCAGGGAACCCGAGGTCCTATCAGCAGTGGGTGCACACGGTCAAGGTAACGATCAGCCTTCAGAGTTTCTTCTTTTATTCTAACACACGGAGACCCGTTCAGTAAAAATATGCTATTTACACTTACGCTGTTTATTTGCAATATTTGAAATGTTTGTATATCATGTTACATTTAAAATATTTTTGGTCAATGCTTATAGTTTGTTGATATTCATAAAGATAATTTTAAAATAGAAATTTTTTTCCAGAGATAAATGGTTTCTTTTGAAAAGTGAGATTTCACTGTCACCTTGTATTACATTCCAGAACCAGGAATTAGGTGGGGTAGTAGGATTTGATGAGAATTTTAAAATCCTTCACGAATTGAGACTTTATTGCCCAACATTAAAACAGTTGATAAACATTGTATTTCATTTATTTTAAGCTTTAAATATATACATATTCCTGGTCATGTTACTCAAGTCTGCCTAAACTTAAGAAATGATTTTTAAGTGGTATATTACACTAACTAAAAGAACAGAGTAAAATGTTTATAATTTGTTTGAAATTATTATATATAAAAACTTGAAAACACTAAACATGAAATAATTTTTATATGTCTTTAAGTTGTGAATAAAGCTCTTTTTTATACCACTAATAATGCTTTGTTTTTAGGACATTTTGGGGGAAAGATTTTGGGAATGCGTTTGTGTTTCTCTTTTGTAGAAAGGAGGTGCTCTGTTCAACACAGCAATGACCAAAGCAACTCCTGCTGTGCGGACAGCATATAAATTTGTAAGTTTTTATTTGACATTTAACATTTTATTTTCCTAGATGATAAATGTAAATTTATAATATTTTCTACTTTTCTTTTAGATAAGCTTTTTAAAAAGCTTAGGGTTAAGAATGACCAAAGCAAATTAAGTTATTAAAATGGTAACGCTGTACAGAGAGGGTATTTCCTTTATATAACGTAAAAATGATTCTTCATTTTATTTCAAAGCTATCAGCAAAATTGTGTAGCAAATTGAAACAGTCCCGATGACGAATACCATTTTTTAAAATTTGATTCTTTCATTCAACAACATATTTTAAATTCTTGTTGAGTACTTGAGGCTCAAGGTGAAAAAAAATAGAGCAATATAGCAAGATCTTTTTCCTCAAAGATATGTTATTGGCTTTCCGTAATTACTATTCTTCACTGATTCTTTGTGGCATACAGTAAAATAATAACAGGAGCACTGGCAACAACAAGTAAATGACAAAATGAAAATCTCTTTAATATTACAACTAAGACCCTTCAAAACCCGGCCCCCTGCGTGCTGTTCCTTTTCCTCTCATCCCCCAGACCTTCCCCGTCTGCAGACGCATGCGCGCTCTCCTGGACGTGAAACGCTCACCTCTGCCCTCTATTCTGCTCTAGCTATTCCCACAACTGGGAGTGTCCCTTTGTTGGCCTTTACTCACCTAGTGAACACCAGTTCATTTTTATAGGGCTTAGTTCAGGCTGTATTTCCCCTGGAAAAAATTTCTAACCCTGCACAAAAAGAGTTTGTACTATTTTCGTGTGTCCGTAGGACCTGCAGGACCCTCTGTTCCAGCACTTGCTTCGTCTTTGTCGGTGTTTATCTCTAACATTAGACTAGCAACTTCTTGAGAGGGAAGCTAGTGCGTTGGTATTCAGTAAAATTTTTTCTTAATTCAACAGGTCGTGTATTTTATATTTCTAAAAATATTTAGGGCAATAATTTTGATTTTGTAAGAATTTATCTTCGAAAGCCTTCCCAGTAAATGAATTGATGTGATTGAATTAATAATAAAATAATATATTTTAATGAAAGTTTAGAACTCATATTCTTTTCTTGACTTACAATTGCAATGTAAATGCAGCCACCCTTTCTGTTTAAAAATCCTGTTTCAAAGATTACCTTTTATCGTAGGGGAGCTAGTCTGCATCGTTGATTCAAAAACGTAGCACCAAAATTCTGAACCATTCGAAGACTAACATGAAGCAGAAGAAAGAAATAGTCATTTTGCCTTAGAAACACCAGAATCTGCCTTTTGTTTGGTTTCCATGTCTTTGCTGGAAGACCTCTCTGGCAGTGTGATTTAAATACAGTGTTTGGAGAGATTTTCTTCACAATAGAATAGCACATAGCTGCCACGTGAAAAAACAAGCCAACGTTGAGCCTGATTCCTCATATCCAAGTGGGTGTCATTCAAGCTTCTAAAAGTGGTTTCGCAGTCAACAGCCCCCCGTTTTTTTCTTGAGTGAGCACTCGAAGTTTTTCTTTAGGCTTAGAGAAGATGTATCGTTTTCCCAAATATGCGTTTTTCTCTTAATTTCACTCATGTCTTTCATAAAAGCTCAACGATGAAGCAAACATGCTCAAAGCCTTATTATTTAAAGATTTATCCCTTTAATCGGTATTTTATTTTGAATACTTCTTTGCAAGGCAGTAAAATTTTTCCAAATTAAAAATTCTGCTCTTTTGAGGATTATTCCCTAAATCAATTTCAGCCAAATTAAAGTCTTTAGAATATACTTAATCATTTTTATCATTCATTTTGTGATCATGTCATATATGAGTCAGCAGGTTTGGTGCAGGCAAATAAGTCATTTTGTGACCTTCATCGTCGTACCTAAAGGTGATCTTTCCAGATTGCTCGTATTCTGAAATCTGTGTACTGAAATTCCTTCTTTGACCTCAAATTGCTGTGAAGAAAACTCCCGATTTCTGTTGTGGGTGTAACGATTTATTCACCTTGGTTTTCATAGATAGTAAATTTTTCAAAGGTGAGATCTGTTTCTTTCATTCAACAGATTATTTGAGCACCTACCATGAAGTAGGGCTCGCGCTTGTCACGGAGTGAGAGCGGAGAGTAGGGCAGGTACTAAGAGTGAGAGAGGCACTGGCCCCGCTGCGGTATTTGTGTCCCTGTCTCTTCGCTCTGTGCTTTGACCGTACGAGAGACGTACTAAACATGTGTATTTGTCAAAGCAGGTGATTTGTCCTGTACATAACATTTTTCTGCACTTATTTCTATGCTTAATTTTTTCTATAGTTTCTATGTTTATGCTTTTCCATCCTTACAGGAGCCATAAAGAATACCAGAGTAAACACACACTCTTTCTTACAAACCTAAGGATGACAGCAAAGTGAATTGTATGTTTTATTTGGCTAAAAGTTTTCTTGGTTGTCTTTCTTGTTAGGTCTTTGCATTTTCAATTATTAATCAAAGCCATTTGCTTGGTGCATTTCTGTAGAGAATGCTTTTATATTGTTAAGTTTCAACTTGATAAATTGAAAAGGATAGAGAGAACCTATATCCCGTTTTCCAGGTAATTTGAAAGGTCAAAGGAGGGGATCGGGCAACATTTAAATGCATCAGTGCATGAATTACAGAACCATGGAAGAGACTGACACTAGTTTCAACTCTATACACTAAGGAGCATTTGAAAAGATTAATGTGAGCAGGTGGATTAGAGGATATTTAGATAAACTAGAATATAGTCTAAATGTGAGCAAAGCAAAGATGGACACAAATTCTAGGGGATGGGAACAGAAGCATTTTTTCTTGGTAATTCTATATTTTTACCTAATGGAAATACAGGGATTAATACAGGACCCTTTAATTAGATTCAGTGGCTTTACAAATACAACAATGTGCAAGTGTTTTATTGATTCTAAAGAACCATGGCATATAATTTAATGTTGTTTGGCTTTTCAGATTATCTTTTATCATGTGTACAGTGTGTTTTGGTTTTGCCTCATTAAAATAAAGAAATAATTGTTCACTTCAAGACATTTCTCCAGCCGTTTTTCTATGCCAAATAACTGTGCTGAGTAATACAGATATTAACTGGAAAGAAATTAAGATTCTTCCCTCCAGCTTGGGAACTTGGGAAGGACATGTGTTCACTCTTTCCAGAAGCAACTTGGGAAACCAGGACGTTTAGTAGGAGCGAGGGCTTTGGCGTTGGAGTCTCAAGTCCGCACGACCTCAGTGTCTGTGTCTGTAGGATGAGGTTATAAAGTTTTCTTTCTGGCAAGACCTAAGTTCGGTGGATGTCTTTTTAAAACCTTAGTTCCTCTTTTCCCTTTGGGAAGGGAGGAAATTAGACTTTGTAATTCAGTGGGCCTAGGCTATGAGGACTTACCCGCCCCTCAGTTACTTTCCGTACTTGCAAAGTGTGATGATGATGGTGCCAATCTCGTAGAGTTGTCACGATGACTGTATGAGGTGATGCGTGCCAGGCACCCAGCGCACAGTCACGTAATCAGGAAACACAAAATAAACGTGAATTCCTTTTCGCTTCTTTTTACTTTGGCCACCGTGAGTGGGAATTTGCAGGGGAACAAAGGCTGAAGCTTTTGCGAAAGCCCCGGTTGTCTTTAGTTAAGTTACACCCCAGAGGAGTCACAGCAGGACCTGAGACACTCAGGTGCTGGAGCCAGATTCCTGGTGAAACGTAAGGGTAACTTTTAAATTGTTAAATGGCTCCTAATTTTTGCCAGAAAAAACACGTATGAAACAGCCATCCCATCAAGATGGCTCTGCTAATAAAGATCTGTGTCTGCCTGTAAAAGCGCTTCAGTAAAGCTTGTGAAGTTGCCTGAGCTGCTTAATGTTCAGACATTTGCCCAAATAAACTTGCTGCTGGGATGTGCCTTCTCCTCCTCCGGTTTGTCACAATTTTAAATTAAAATTGGGCGTTAGTAACCTGGTTGATTCCCTTTGTGTCCTTTACAGTTCAGAAGATAAACAGGCTAAGTGTTAGCCTTCATGTGATGTTCGTATGCAAATAACAGACTAAGCATGTTTTCACCAGCTAATGTAGGTATACTAAAGTAGTAAGTGGTGTGGTATCCCTGAAAATAGTTTTAGATTATAGTCTGTTCTTTTTCTAAATAATATGAATAGTTAGACATTTTCATTGAATGTAATCTTGTGTGCTTACTCTTTAAATGGTAGTAAATTCATGCTGAGCCACACACCTTTGTTATTTTCTAGGCAAAAAGTCATGCAAAGCTGGGACTGAAGGAAGTGAGGAGTAGGTTAAAACACAAGGTGTGTTATATTCTTTTTTTCTGTCCTGCCTTGATTCTTGTATTAGTTTGAAGTTTATACTTTACAAATCACATGAGATTTATGTTTTTAATGACTTTTGAAATACACTTAGCCCTTTGTTCCAGAATGTATTTTTGTAACAAGCCCTCTGGCAACTCTGCCATTCTATACGCGTCCACTGCATAATCTCCTTATTGTTTGCATATTTTATCACAGAACCGTGGAGATCTTCAAAGATGCTGTAATAAGATGTATGTTTTCATAAAGTTGATTGCCTTGATATCGCAATTGAAGTTCTTCAAGCTGAAAATTTTTTTAAAAAGATACCTTTCGTGTAGAATTAAGCCAGGAATGCCATCATTTGGCTTTATAGGCTCTTTCCAGTAATAGTTACTTTGAATTGAGGAATGTTCTTAATTTATGAAAGATTATGTATGAGGATTTGTATTGGAAGCTATGAATAATGCAAGTATATGAATATTTATGTGTATATATGTGTGTATATGATTTGATTATACATTATATCTTTGCAGATTTTATTATCAATTATTATGCTTCCAATTTTTACCTTTGGAGAAAACATACTACTTAAAACTTCCAGTGTAGTGATAGAGCAAATTGTCCTCATATAAATTTTATTCAAATTATTCAAGATAGAAGATTATTTTGGAAATTATTCATATTATTGAAAAATACATTTTCTTCCTAATAGATTCTTTAAACTTACAGCTGAAGTGTTATTTTGTTATTTGCATGTGTATCAGATACTTTATTCATCTAATAATTTTCATCATAGAAGGAGTACCTCAAAATAATTGTGTATTTTTCCTATGTAGGAAAATGAGGAAGATTATGGGGCGTGCTCTGGCTCTGTGCAGTACACCCCAGTCTGCGTGCTACGTGGTGAAGAGGGAGGACGCGGAAAGCTCAAGCGCGCCCAGGTGAGGGGATTTACCGTTTGAGCCTCCATATTCTCAAATCATGTGATTCCAGCGAATTCTCTAGGAACAGTTTTGGAACCGTTAATTTTTTACGTGTGATAAGAAAACCTGCAGTACTGGTCAAGGGCGGGAGCAGGGGGGATCTGGGCAGGCTACAGGAAGATCGAGAATCCAGTGTCCAGATCTAAGTCCCTGTGTGCGTTAACTCACGTCCTCACGGAGCCCAGTCTGGTGAGGGAGAGAGACAGTTGGATGTGTGATTGTCACAGAATATGCATAGTTTTATTTTACAAAAATAAAATGAAACTCATACTTAAGTATTTGACCATTAAAGTAGTCCACAGAAATTAGAATGTGAACTACTGTATGTCCGTCCGTCTTTTTCTAAGGTTAGAGATTTTATTTGCTATAAATATTTAAAGCTTCTGCTTACATGCCGATGCTACTTCACATCTTATCCCAAGTGACAAAGCGCTCAGAATCAGAGCTGTGTGTGTCCCTGACTTTGTATCATCAGTGTGCTTCTAAAGGTTTTAACTAAGCAAAATTGGTATACACCAAATCATATTTTTAGTGGCTTTAGAAAACTAGCTTTAGAAAATAATTTTTGAGTGGATTATAGTTGCAAAATTATAGAACTGGAAGCAATTGCAAAGCTTAATGTATTACGGTTGCCGAAGTTTACAGATGAAAAAGTCAGTAGCAGAGGGGCCGACGCCCATCTCTGGGGTGCAGTTAACGTCCTGGGCAGCCAGGCTCTGCAGAAGTCTCGGTGGCCACACAGTGCTGCCGTATGTCTCTGTCAGTCCGTTTGTGCTGCTGTAACAGGATACCTGAGACTGGGTAATTCGTAAAGATGAGAAATTTATTTCTCAGAGTTCCGAAGGCTGGAAAGTCCAAGATCAAGCTGCTGGCGTCTTGCTGGGTCATTTGGTGGGGGAAGGGAGGGGAGGCCCAAACTTACTCTCTTATCAGGGCACCAGTCCCACCCAGGATGGTGGACCATCTCGTAAAGGTTCCCCTTCTTAATGCAGTTACAGTGGCAATTAAATTAGAACGTGAGAGTTGGAAGGGACAAGCATTCAAACCGTGACAGTCTTTAAGAATGGGAAAGGACCCGTGCAGCTGTACTACAACCGTAGGCCTTTGTAAAAAAAAAAAAAAAAAAATTCATTTAACCATTGAACACCTACTAGGCACTTTTCTAGGTACAAGATATATATAGAAGGAAGAACAAAACATTCTCTGCCTTCATGGGACTCTTTTTGTAACATAATAAGTACCTTTAAATGCCTTTTCTCTAACTTTTCTGTTTCATTAAGCTGATATTCTCGTATGTTAGAATGGCTTAATTGTAGCGTATTGATAGAGATGATAAATAAGCCTGTCAATAGGGTAATTATTCCACAAGTGCAGAAACCTTTTCTGGCTACTACCATTAACTGAATAACATTTGTTAACTTGCGAACGAATGAAGGATTAGCTATTAATTTTTCTGGTTTTCCTCCCATTACTAGTATGTTCAGTTCCTGTCTGTTTTCAAGCTTTAACACCTTAAAAACTTTTATAAAATGTTTACTGGCTTAATATTGGAGCATTTAGGTTACATTTACCATGATGAATAGATTTTTATATGAAAAAATACGACATTTTCATTACGGATCCACAGACGATTTCGTTGTCGCAAGAGCGCACGCTCTGCTGGGGGCGCCTAGCAGCGGGAAGGGTCTGCATTTTGGGAAATAGAAATCTGGTTTTCTTCACTTGGTCTCTTCTGTGCAGTTTCTGTTATTTGAAATGCTCAGTCTCACTCATACCTCTCTCGAAGACAGCTTAGTTACCTAGCCACGGAATCTCATGACAAATAACAGTGGCTACCAGTGGAGATGAAATACACTGTTCTCTTTCCACTGTGAGGCTTACTGAGCTAGAAAAGGAGCATCACTTTCTCGTGTGAGAACTGGTCTCAGTTATGCCTCAGAAGGAGCTGTGTTCTGGGTGTCATCTTCTGTTTGATCCTTTCAGTAACCAAATTCTCTTAAAAGATTTGCCATTGGTAAATTTAATTACCTAAAAGCAAGATACTGTAGAAACCGTTGGGATTTTTAATCCAGGTAATTTTCATGTTCTTACTGCTGTTTTCTAAACCTCAATTTTTATAGAGTCGAAACCATATAAAGCCTCAGCAAACCTGGGGAAGACAGACAGTTTCTTGGTGACAGCGAGGCTCTCTGTGTGTGTTTGTGTGTACTGCATGATTTGTGTAAAACTTCCAACAATCCAGAGTGGAAACTATTATCCCCATTTTTCAGATTTAGAAACGGGAGCAGAGAGATCGAGAAATGTGGCTAAAGTCCTGCAGGTCATAAATAGCATAGTAGAAATTTGAAAACAGGCAAACTGATTGTAGAACTCAAGTACCTAACCACTGTCATGGGGAGTAGTTGTGGAGAAGGGTATGGAATTTACCGCCAAACAAAACTTAACTTTGAGAAAAGTACTAGCATTTAGCAAAACAAAACATTGCTAAGCCTCAGTTTCTACATCTGTATAATGGTATAACAATACGTCGTTTTTTTTACAATGCGACAGGCGTTATAGATAATGTACATCTTAATAAAAATATCTGTTACATGACAGGTACTCAGGAATGGGTGGCTGTTCGTCTATGTGTACAGTTACATACATCTTGGGTTTCAGTCGTTTTTAGCAGCGGCACCATCTGACTTTCTCCTCTCTTGGCAGTTACTGTCCAGAGTCACAAATAATCCTCTAAAGTAGTGGGGACCCTAAAAATTATCTGTCTTCATTCTAAGTAAAGATGACTATAGATCCCAGTATATTATTTGAAAATAAATATACAGCTTATTGCACCAAGAAATCCCTTATTTATAAGTTTATAAAACTTTGTGTCATTTTATTGTCAGTAAAATTAAGAATATGATCTCGACTCATCCCATTGCTAGTGCATTGAGTTATCCAGTTTGATAGTGGATGGAATGTCCTTTATATCGAATTGAATATAGTATCCTTTATATACCTGAGGGTATACAAAGAATTTCCCATTTCTAGTTTGCAGCTAGATTTGTCAGCAAAAGACTTTATTTTCATCTGTTTTCAAAAGGTGAAAATAGGATTATTGTAATTGGAATTCCAAGAATATATTTTAAAGTAAAAAAGTAAAATTTTATAATCTGGGTGCCGTAGAAGACAAGATCTGAATGTATCCTGTTTTAAGCCTGTGTTCCAATATTTAGCTTATTTTGGAAAAGATGATGGATCTAGAGTCCACCTCTAGCAAATAGCGATGTGTGTGCTGCTCTGCTAATTAGTGTGGTCATTTCCCATTTTGTTGATGAGGCTTAAATAAATGCCAGGGGTGCAGCCATGAAGGTCTCCCAATTAGGCATCGCATTTGTAAGACGCAGCCCTTTTCCCTTTTGTGCGAAGATGACAGTTCCAGCAGCAGCCCAGCCTAACAGGACTCCAGGGAAAGGCTCCTCCTCTGGCTTCATTGAAAACAGGGCCGGGCCGGTCCAGTGAGGATACTGCCGCCCGTCATGGTGCAGAACACTTTTAATCCTGACTGCACTTACCCTCTTTCATGGGTTTCATTTTCGAATATAATGCTGAAGAGTTAGTCAACAGTATTTAGATCATTAAGTCTATCATCTGAAATTACATTTAAAAATATTTACTTGTAAACATTTATTAGAATTTTCTAAGCATAAGACATTTCTGTAAATAATATGAAAAATTATATATATATATCTAAAATACTGCTCCATTTTTAATAATATTAGCCATTCTTGGTTTAGTCTAGCAATTACACTGTGTATCTACCTGGTGTCTGCAGGAGACACAGACGCTCAGCTGTGCTAGTGAACACGCGGGAGAGCTGAGCTGTGTCACAAGCCGACACTAACAGATGGATGGCCCTGAGCAAGGCACAGTCACGGCAACAAAACCTGGGGAAAGTGGAGGGTTGAAGCTTTTTGTTGTTAAGCCCTATTAAAACCCTGGCACACATACCACTTTTAACTATTGCATGTCTGGGACAAATAGCAGTCTGCTCGGATTTTCAGCCTATCCAAAGTTATTTTTCATTTGTGCTGTGATATAAAGCAGTGTAGTTCCTGTTGATAAATTCACTTGGAAGGTAGTCAAGACTTACCCAAATATAGTGTTTACTATGGAAATATGTTTAATAGTCATAGTTTCTATTAATAAGACGAAGCACTGTTAAACTGGGAGACGTTTATTCTCATTTTTAATATAGTCACATACAGACTGATAGTTTGAGATATAGTTATCTTTTGAATGCACAACTAAGAAAGGTGTTTCACCATAAAATAGGATCTATGTGATTTTCCATTTGTATCCATAATGCAAGGTAATATGCACACTTAAAAAATGAAACTGCTGTCTTTTTAGTCTTTATATTTAATGGTTTATAAATCAAATTCTTAACAGCTATGAGTTCATTTTATCATTGATGAGTAATATACTTTAATGTTTAAAAAATATGCTCAGAAGTTATATATGCTTTTTTGCATGCAGAGACTTGTCAGTAAGGCATTGCAAAGCCTCATTTTGGTTGGATAGGGACTGAAGAGAAATTCCAGTATGTTGGCATCTTTGAAAAAAATACGAGCAATCAGATAGTTTATGTCTTACAGATAATAAATCTCATATTTTAAAATGCAGATGAAATTAAGTTTCTGTGAAACTTGAAAGATAACTTAGATTCTCTTAAATTACTTAGTTCCTAAGCTTAATAACCATGGGATGTCTACTAGGATGTGGTTTATAGTATTGCACTGTGACACTTTCCTTCACAGGAATTCACTGAACTCAGTAATAAAATGAATGTAATTAAAGGTGGTGTTTCTTGCTCAGGTGACACAGTAGATTTCAGAACATGGAACACTTGTTAGGATCTTTGTAAAAATTACAGCCCAGTGAATACTTTGCTTTATTGGTCAGGAGAGAGATGGCAC